TACAAGTTGGTAGTTGGTATACCTATGAGAATGAGATGTTGTTAAGTCGTTGTTTCTAGTTAAAAATAGCTTTACTGACAGATTTCCATTTTTTGCAATTTTTTTCCAGAAATGAATGTGCTAGATGATATTATTAATAAAGCTACAGTCGCAGCTAAGAGTTTACCACCAGAAAAGTCTACCAGAAAGTACCTACAAGCAATTATTCTTGTGATAAAACTGATTTTTTAAAAATAAATAATTCTACTGACTTGTAAAAAGTTTTTACAGTTTAGCTGTCAATTTTACAAGTCAGTAGAGCCAGTAGCTTGTAAAAATCAATTTTCGTTGTTTATGTTTTGACTTGATAAGTGACGTTTTACAAATGAGTGACAAATAAATACATTTTAGTGATATAGACATTTTAAAGATTACTCTACCTAAATTAAAAAGCCAAATTTGCTAATTTAATCTAGTGTTACTTTCTACCTTACTATTTACCTTTATTTCGTGAGTTTGTTACGTACCATTATTTTTTTTTCTCTTTTTTATATTTTGTATTTGTGTTTATATTTTGTATTTTATATTTGTATTCTATTACTATTTTAACTATTGCAATTGTTCAATTTGTTACATTTTCAGTGTACCATTTAGTATTTCTCTGTAGTGTGCACTTTAAACAGACTAAATAAATAAATAAATTCATACTAACATGCAAAGGTTGAGGGGGTAGTCAGAAACAGGAAAATACCAGTTGCGTACACTCGATGGACCTACGAATGGAGAACCATACGAAAATATACAAAACTGTATGATTATTCAAAAACTGTACATAGGATTGAATTCATACTAACATGGAAAGATTGAGGAGGTAGTCAGAAATGGGAAAATACCAGTGGCGTACTCTCGATCGACCTACGAATGAAGAACCATACGAAAATATACAAAACTGTATGATTATTCAAAAACTGTACATAGGATTGAGTTCATACTAACATGGAAAGGTTGAGGGGGTAGTCAGAAACAGGAAAATACCAGTGGCGTACACTCGATCGACATATGGAGAACCATACGGAAATATACAACAATGGATGATTATTCATCTAAATAGAGAAAATTCAAGAGTTTTTGGAAAAATAATTTTTTCTCAATTCCTCTTGAATTTCTTTTCTTCTGTGATTAGAAAAAATATGAAAGTACACTAATCCACCAATTTTTTCTTACATTGCTTCCTCAATTTTTGTCTACTAAGTAGTGAATAGTAATAGCCAGTAAAAGCGAGTAAATGCTATTTCATTATATGTACTTACTTAATACTTTTCTTTAATGGCCTCGTATTTTACGTTTCATCAATAAAAAATGTATGGATGGATAATACTGTCGTGATAGAGGTAAGAGTAGGAATAGTAGGATTGATTGATATTACATTAAATTACCTATATTTATTGTATTATAATTTTAGAAGTTCCGAGGCAGATCGTTTTTGAAAATCTAAGACCACGCTCCATGCAAAAATGTGATTTATTTATGAGTAGCTATAGAGAGCTCTGTGATGCTAATAATAAACTTGCAATTAATGTTTTTAAATTCATCTTTAGAATTTCAATAGTCTACAAATCCAGATCTGTAATCTTTTGCCCAGAATTTAAAAATATTTATGAAAAATGAAATAAGCATCTTCGTAATTACTGAAATCTCAAAGGGTTACGCACGAAATGCCAAATGCGTGAATATGCAGTCCGGTTAAGCACCCTGCAACATACCGCAGACTCTTTGAAAAAATTACTTCGGATCAAGTCACTATCGGGACAAGAATACAAAAAGAGCACAACCAACAGCTTCAACTTCAGAAGTAGACCTAATGAAAAAATAGTCATTCCAGTGACGCACAGTCACAACATTGGACAACTAGAACATATGATGGTCTGTCGTCAAACCAACGTAGGAGAGAACCAGAAGATGAACTCCTCAGGAAATTAAAAAATAATCACTGAATAAAGAATGCCCTATAGAGAAAATGAGCCTCGAAGTTTGGACAGGGACAGAACTGCGCCAAATCATTCTAGCGCAAGACTTAGGCCCACCTTCGATGAAGTTTGTAGGAGAAGATGGAATCGGAAGTTAGAAGAAATCGAAGTAAAGGACCACTTTGTACGAAAAATCGGGAGCGAAGAACTATGGTGGCGGTAACCAACATCGTCAACTCCTAAGTAAAGCACCGAAAGTTTCATCACAGAAAAATCGCTTTCTGCTCAAGTAGATAATCATTAAATAGAAAACTGTAGACCTCGTAAAGATTCTGGAAAACCAGGTTGTTCAACGGAGCTCGAAATAGTCGGACACCATACGTGAATGGATTTAACTGAAAAAAGATAACTGTAGCCGTCATAATAAATTTTGAACGAGCTTCCGCTAGAGTCGGGCCTGATAGACTAATTCAAGCCGGGTATCGAGTCAAAACCTATAAAAATTACATTTGTCTGATGTCCATTCATTTATTTTTTCCTAAAAGCTTTCATGAAGCAAATTGGCTTTTCAGCAGCACTGTATAACGTTTAATTTCCTAAGTGGAAAACCCATGAGATTGAGTGGAAATGTGGAACATTTACATTTTTTCTTACTTCTTACTCTGGTAGGTACATATTATCGGATGATTTTAATTCCTGAGACCTGACCTTATAGAATATTGGATAGTTAAGAATTTTCGGCAAAAAAACTTTCGTGGTCTTCTATGGAAAGTTCCGTTAATTGAGTTACGAAAACGCTGTAGGCAGTTTTTCTACGTTTTTCTCAATAGGTAGTTTAACCAACGTCACAGCTACACCATCAAATATGCGCGACTATCGAAGCGGCTTTAATGGAAGTAGTTAATTATAATTATGTAGGTATAGGGCATAAGTACTTACAGCAAATTCCCATTGTAGAAAAGAGTTATGTCTTTTTGTTCGTTCATCCCTCTTTATTTTTCTTTTTGATGAGTTTAACACCTTTAACGATAAGCGTAAGCGAGCAACTGAAACCCTCCCATAACTGTAGTTTTTATTGGTGTTTTAGTACTTTCACCTGTAAAATTTATTCCGTCATTAAACAAAGCTAAGCTGAACTGCCTGAAAAGAAGAATCGTAAAATATTTATAATGGCCGAGAGAATGCGGTGTTTGGCGAAACTCAATACGCGAACCATGTTCGTGATTTTTAGTTACACGCCATTCGTCTTAATGATGCCTGCTTTACGCGAAACGTCGACGTTAATGTCCCTTAAACATGGATATATCCAAGTTTTCCACGATATTTTAGGCCCGAAGTTAGGAACATTAACTCCCATTAAAAAAAGCTTAAAAATAACCGTTTAATTGATATGACGGGAAATGACGGGGATGGAATATGCCGTGACTTGAATGCCGACTTTAATATGTCTCTTTATGTTGCCGTCCCATTAAAGAGGTAGGCACCGGAGAAGGCATTAACGACCCAAAAAAAAGTTCAATAATGAAAATTTAATGACACTTTTCCAAAAAAATCTTTTAGCATAATTAAGATGAAAAGAATAGGGGCCTTTAAGGTAAAATATATATAAAATCACTTGCGATAATTGAAGAGTAACCTAATACTCAATTTCTTAAATTTCAAATTTCTCAATGCTGTCAGTTTATCTTACCACCTCAAAGTGAGAAAATATAGTTTGGATAAGTCGGCTTAAGATCCTGATACCAAAACAGTTTCAAAGTTGCACCTTGCATCTGGCGCCGATCTAAAATCTGTCCATTTTATAGGTTAATAATGTTTCATAATAATTTATGCTTTCGAGATCACTTTATGAATAGTGGTCGAGGGGGTGCTTAACTTTTATTGAGAGGTAGTTTAATGCTCGACTTTGCGTGTATATTTAGGTTATAACGCGATTATCAATAATAAACTTACAATAAAAAGTAAAAGAAACCTAGAAACAGCAAACATGTATATTTTGTATTTATCATAAATCATAAATATAAGCCCCAAACAGAACCACATTCATTTTATTCTTAAAAGCTTTTTTATTGTTTTATTTCTTGTTTCTTAGATTTATCTTATCTATCAAAAGATTGAACCAAATTGATGTCATAAATAGTGGTAAGTATACCCTAAGTGCCGGTTTCTTACCATTTTGTATCTCAATGTTAGCTTTTTGAGATTCTAGCTTTTGACAAAAGATGCCCTACACTATCAGTGATCCAACTCTTTACAACCCTCGTCACACGTTGTCTTGAGAATTTTATTAGGAAACACGTATATTGCATAAGTTAATAGTACAAGGAAACCGCATGAAAAGCTTTGTATTTATTTCCAGGTCAGGTCAGTAAGAACTCACTTATTTTATGTTCCTACAGCTTCTTGTCAGAATTTTTTACTCAAACTTGCAAATCCCAAATCTAGGATCTAGCTTTTTCCACGCTATTCCTCACAATTTCTAATATTGTTATTGTCATTCTACTGGTAAGTTTGAAGGTGCGGCACATCGGTCCTGTAACCTGTATTTGTGTTTTATTAAGAGATTAACACGTACCTGTAGTATTTCATAATCTTTAAGGCTACGCCAGCCATTTCATAATTGAAGCCCTTTTTAGGGTAAAATTGATTCATTTCTAATCAATAGAGAAAAATATGCTAATTACTTGATCGTTCTAGTAAGAAATAATATTAATTTTTACTAACTTCACCCACAAAACGACTATACACACAGTGATATTTTTATTATTGGTTGCTGAACTCTTACTAAAAACTACAACAAATTTCCTCAAACAAATAATTAATTAATTCACCTCCCATTAACCCTTATTTAATCTTTACTCCCTTCGTGTTCGGTTCGGGAAAAGCCTCATTATTCTTACCTCACCAGAGAGCACCCCCCCCAGACAACGCGACGTGTGTATATGCGTTTGTTATTACATTACGATGGGATTTGTTCTGTCGTGATGTTCTTCCTGAACGCAGACGCCGCGCCAAAGTTGTTTTCTGACGCGAAACAATTTTTAGTCGGCAAGTCAGCACAGCGTGTTCGCGGTTGTTCAAAGGCTGACGGTCGAAGAAAAGCTCGGCGACCGCTTTCCATGGCATCACGAAAAGCGCGCCGCTTTTCGCAACGTCCGTTCGTGATTTGTGGCATGCTGATCAATTTCGTATTGTTTGATAATTATTATTGCAATGCGACTTATTTAGGTGAGCTGAAATTGTTTATAAGTATATATGTATATTTTTTTTTAAAATATTTAAAAAAGTGTTTGAAAAGTTTTTGAAACTTTTCTTAGGCTTCAGCTTAGTGACTTAACCGCAAAAGCTGATTGAAATAATCAAAGTTGAACATCACTCATACTCGTATGAAAGTCAAAAACTCGAATTTTCAAAAAAAAACTAAAATTTATTTGTTCAAAATTTTACATACCAATTGAAGATATCGTTGGTTGCTATCTCTTTTATTTATTCATAATATCAGAAGTATTTGATTTTCCCTAAAAATAGCTTTATTAGTTGCAGTGTAAATATAAAAATAGAGGATTTCATAAATAAATCAAAAATCTGTCGTTATAATTAGACCCTCAAATAAATCTACAAAATAGGCTGTTTTGATTATCTGCCTGAACAGATTACTGCCAAGGGTAATTTTATCATCACAAATCGCGAAACTGCTGTCGGAGATTTTAAATGCCACTCAATACTCGTTATTACCAATTAACCTGAATAAGTGCGAATTTCATTACTCTACAATCTACAATATCAAAATAAGGAAGAAAAACAGATATCCACGTATTGTTTGGCAGAAATATTTTCTTTCAAATAAACTTCGATAAGTAGAAGGTAAGTTTAGCAAATAAGAAAACTCAATGATGCTTTCAATTTAATATTTGCTTAATAATAACAATATATGTCAGAGGTAGTTATATAATATAATGTAATTATTGTGTTATTCAGCCACGTTTACCTACTCCTGAACAAAAGCCTCTTCAAGTGTGTTTACTTCCTTTTGTCACGTGCCATCTGATAACATTTGTCCTTTGCTGTCTCTATCGGAATCTTTACACATTTCTTTTAGTTTTTCTTGGCAATCTCTTCAAGTATAGTTTTTCTCGGAAAAGTTTGTTCAAGAGTTAACACATTGTTTTTAGTAGAAAAAGGGAAAAAACAATGTTGCCTGATGGTTACCTATTTATATCAAAAAGTCGAGAGGGACAATTTTTTTTTGATGTCTAAAACGAACCGTAAATGACCATGTCCTAGAACCCCTCAGATGCTTGCCACTCTTGCCAGAGTGAAGTTTCGGTAATTTTGATGATTTTTTTTAAAGATTACTTCCTTGCTTCGTTCTTGCTTTTGAAGGGTGTTCGCTGAATCTATCACCGTGTTACCCCTTTTGTTATCGAATTAACAAGAAGCCCATAATATGCTCAGTTTGCTCAACGAATAATTATTAGGGGTGGGTCAATAGTTAAATAAGTGTGAAAAGTCAGAAACACACCTAAAAAAAATAATTAGCAAAAGGTAATTGATAATTCTGAAAACGAAATAAATAAGGCATACAACTCAACCAAATCTTGACATAGGTGAAACCAATAAAACACTCAAGTAATTTTCAAATTAGAATAGTGTATATTTTTACGGTGATATCAGATTTAGAGTGAGATTGAAAATCAAGTAGTAAAATTCAAACAGATAAAATTAGTTGTTGGTAAAACACTGTAAATAAATGGAAGTAGCAGATTCTAGCCTTGAATCAAGGTAGATAAAGATGATAGAAATTCACAGTTTTTGTCAAATGTTGAGGGACAGTTTTCGACACGTGAGGGACTGGATTCCTCTAGGACAGTGGTTCCCAACCGGTGGTCCGCGAAAAACTTTGAAGTGGTCCGCGAACTGATACAAGACGAATTCTATAACTTTATTGTTTTGAAAATATAAATTATTATTTTTCATTTATTTTATTTTATTTCAAACTTAAATAATATTCGTATAAGGCAGGTGGCACACTGGAGAAATAAGTTTCATGAATCTTGTTGCAAGAAACAGGAAATTTGTTTCTTTATCACACTACACATACATTCAAATGAGTCGGAGCACACTGGCTAAACAATTTCTGCTCTCCTGTTCCAGAAACGCCCATGTGCTTTGGTATGTATCTTGTGGTAATGAAACAAATTTCTAGTTTCCTGGAACAAGTTTCAAGAATCTAATTTCTCCAATGTGTCACTTGCCTGAAGTATCTTTGAAATTATTAGTGCTTTAGATTATTCTCTATATAAATAGAATTGTTTTCAAAAATAGTAATGACGTCACGAATCCGCTCGAGATCACTCGACAAAGGAATAATCATATCGAGCACGCCAATTCATCATTGCAGTCAGAACGAAATAGAATATAAATGAACACTGCGCTTCAAAAGCTGTATACCCATGCTCCACGAAAATGGGGATCGTTAGAAATGTGGGCTCATTGCAAATGGGCTCCTCGAAAAAAACGGGTTCTTTGGAAGAAACGGACTCCTCGAAAGAAACGGGCTCCTCAAAAGAAACTGGCTCCTCGAAAGACCCACGAGGGGTTCGAAATTCAAATTTGAATAAAACGGTAATCGCAAGACTTTTGATTTAAATTTTTTCGGTAATCAACGGAACTTTGCCTCACGCAACTTTATTTCGTTGAGCTAGTGCCTGATGGCCGATAAGGTACTTTTTTCCACGAGAATGAATATCAGGCTGCACGTCCTTTCTTATCATAAATTCCATATGCCTTCGTATTTTCCGAGCCTTCAAAGCATATTCGGTTGATTCAGATCAATGCAGTTTTTCCCTCCAAGCTTCACTGCAGACCCGGACAAAATAAATGTTATTTCTTTACTCAACCTTTGTCTATCACAGGATTTCTTTTCTTCTAACAAGTTTTACAAGCAACCTGATGGCTTGGCATCTTGGCAAAAATAAATATGAACCGGTAATCACAAGACTTTTGATTTAATTTTTTTCGGTAATCAACGGAACTTTGCCTTACGTAACTTTATTTCATTGAAATAGTGCCTGATGGCCGATAAGGTACTTTTCCACGAGAACGATAATCCCTTTTGACTCAGGAAGATAGCTACTCCCAGGCCAGGATCAACCTTTCAGGTCGAAAGTTAAAATTTAAAAGGGACAAAGAAAGGGACAAGCTGAACAAGCAGAGCTTCTCTTCGAAAAATAGCCAACGGAAAGTGTTGGTATCAAACTGGTACTTCAAATTTGAAGGAAAAGCGTCCCCTCTCTAGTTACGAACAGTACCATTTACCTTGCTACAACTACTGATGTTGATTCCTTTAAACCTTTTCCTCGTCAGCTACGAAATTCTTCTTCAGGTAGGTACTCTCGATTGACAGAAGTAAAGTTTCACTTGTCGAAAACCATTTTTCGTTCAAACCTGGCCCAGTGCCTGTGGTGAATCTGTCAATATCTGAACAAGAAGATGTTTGTTCTAGGTATCCATAGCTCTCCTCTATCTATTTCAAGATCCCTATCCGAAGTTGCCAATTTGGGTATTATTAAAGTCACCAATTACTATTGTTCTGCCTTCTTTTATAACTGTTTATAACTCTTCAAGGAAAATTTATATGGTAATTATCTTTAGAGAGATGGTTTTATGAATATTCAGGATGATGTATCCAACTCCATTGAAAAAAGTTTCGAATATCACGATGCACGTCCTTTCTTATCATAAATTCCATATGCCTTCATATTTTCCGATACTTCACAGCATATTCGGTTGAGTCAGATCAATGCAGTTTTTCCCTCCAAGCTTCACTGCAGACCCGGACAAAATAAATGTTATTCCTTCACTCAACCTTTGTCTATCACAGGGTTTCTTTTCTTCTAACAAGTTTTACAAGCAACCTGATGGCTTGGGATCTTGGCAAAAATAAATATGAAACTTGAATAAAACGATAATGACAAGACTTTTGATTTAAATTTTCTCGGTAATCAACGGAACTTTGCTTAACGCGACTTTATTTCGTTGAACTAGTGCCTGATGGCCGATAAGCTAGTTTTTTCCACGAAAACGGTAATCCCTTTTGACTCAGAAAGATGGCTACCCCCAGGCTAGGATCAACCTTTCAGGTCAAAAGTTAAAATTTAAAAGGGACAAAGAATAGGACAAGCTGAACCAGCAGAGCTTCCCTTCCAAAAATAGCCAACAGAAACTAGATAGTGTTGGTACCAAACTGCTACTTCAAATTTGAACGAAAAGCGCGCCCTCTAGGCTAATAATTGCTATTATTATTGGCGGCAGAAACCTACTTTTATTAATAGCAGTCGCCAGACTGTAAACATCTAAGGCGATAATTTAATTTATAAAATAATATACGAAAGAAAAAGGAACAGTTACGCACAGTAGCATTTACCATGCTACAACTATTGATGTTGATTCCTTCAAACCTTTTCCTCGTCAGCTACGAAATTCTTTTCCAGATAGGTACTTTTGATTAACAGAAATCAAGTTTCACTTGTCGAAAACCATTTTCCGTTCAAACCTAACCCCTCTGCCTGTGGTGAATCTGTCAATATCTGAACAAGAAGATGTTTGTTCTAGGTATTAATGGCACTCCTATATCTATTTCAAGATCCCTATCCGATGATGATAGTTCCTATTGTTCTGCCTTCTTTAATGACTGTTTATAACTCTTCAAGGAAAATTTGTAAGGGGATTATCTTTAGAGAGATGGTTTTATGAATATTCAGGATGATGTATCTCCATTGAAAAAAGTTTAGAATATCACGATGCACTTCCTTTCTTATCATAAATTCCATATGCCTTCGTATTTTCCGAGCCTTCACAGCATATTCGGTTGAGTCCAGATCAATGCAGTTTTTTCCTCTAAGCTTCACTGCGGACCCGGACAAAATAAATGTTATTTCTTCACTCAACCTTTCTCTATCACAGGGTTTCTTTTCTTCCAACAAGTTTTACAAGCAACCTGATGGCTTGGCATCTTGGAAAAAATAAATATAAAACTTGAATAAAACGGTAATCACAAGACTTTTGATTTAAATTTTTTCGGTAATCAACGGAAGTTTGCCTTACGTAACTTTATTTCGTTGAAATAGTGCCTGATGGCCGATAAGGTCCTTTTTTCCACGAGAACGGTAATCCCTTTTAACTCAGGAAGATGGCTGGCCCCAGGCCAGGATCAACCTTTCAGGTCG